TACTGGAACAGCGCCTGTTCTTCCTGATCATGAGGCCCGCCCAGCACGAACAGGGTCTCTCTGGCCCTGGTCCTCATCATTGACCTGCCCACTGACCAAGATGCTGGGAAATGTTCATTGAGCTTTATGATGAGCCTGGCTCTGGGATCAGAGCTTTTCATTCTGGTCAAGAGTTCAGTGATGAAAGGCAACGACAGAGACTCAGGCCTCACCAGCTCAATGAGCTCCAGGAAATATTCTTCTCGTTTAGGGTCAAATGACACCCAGCGCAGTATTGCCTCCAGAGCCAGATCGTCTTTATGGATGGTTAGGTCATCGCTGGCAAGTAGATCTGCTACTGACTCTTTTGAGAGTGACAGAAAATCCTCTTCAGCTGAAATAGCGGAGAAGTGAGTGAGCACCACCTGTCGTGCTGCGGCATAAAGCTGAGTGCAACCCAGCTGCCAGGCGTAGGCCATCATCCCCAAACAGTTGCTGAGGTGCAGCTCACGCTCCAGGAACTTACAGCACAGCAGCCTGGCTCGCTCCAGCTGCAAAAAGTCGGACGTCTCGAGGATGCCCGTAACATTTTCTCTGTCCAGAGACAGGCTGCATGTTGTGGTATATTCCATCAAGGTCCTGAAATGCTGCAGACTCACACCTTTAATCTCTACCTGCCTTTTGCTGCTCTCCAACCCACGGCCAAAGAACAGAGCCCTGAAGTAAGGGCTCTGCAGGGCCAGATGTTGACGGTTGACATAAAAAATCTCTCCTTCTACTTGTAGGCTAGCATCAGGTGTTATATCAGCCTCAGAGTCCTTCACCTGTGAAGCAGACTCATCCTCTTCTTCTGATACAAGCGTCAATTCAAAGCTCTGCAGTTTCAGCTCATGGTCACCTCTGTCAGCCATGTCACAACAAACAGCCACCCCTCCTCCTGTGTTCTGCTCGGATCCTCGTCCTCTGCTTTCCAACACACCAGCTGGTGCTATTAATAGACTTCCCCCCCTCGACTGACAGCAAAGGAAAAGGGGGTCAGTTCCAAAAGCAGATGCTGATGATAAAACTGTGAGTTATAATATAAAATATTATAATATAAAAACTAACTCACCCTATCATACCAGCCCCATTAAATTAAATCATGAAGAGTCATTTTAAAAAGCAGTGACGTCATGTAAAGGCGCTCGGTGTTTTGATTGGTGGAACATTCTTGAGGTCGAAATTTCACTTCCGTGTCACGCAGCTAACATGGCGGTGAGTTCGTACATTCAAATACTTTTCTGCCTTTGCACCTTTAACGTTGTCGGATATGCTGTTAGCCCGTGAGTGTGTGTTTCAGCCGTAACCCGGGTTTAAATCAGCACGTTCAAAGTAATATAAGGTGTTTTTGTTGTATCATGTTAGCTAACACGGCTAGCCTAGCTAGCTGGGCTCATGCTCAGCTGGTGTTTGTGTGCGCGGCTAGCACACATGCGACTCACAAACGGCGTGTTTTGTTTTCTCTGCGCAGGATAAAGACAAAAAGAAAAAGGAGAGCATCTTCGACTTGTCCAAATACATCGATAAGCCGATTCGTGTAAAGTTTCAAGGAGGACGAGAAGGTAGGTGGATCAGTTATGATAACAAGCTAACAGTTAAGCAGCGCTGCGGGATTTGCTGTCCTTATGTCCAGCTAATGGAGACTTTACACCGTGTATTTGTTTCCTCCTCAGCCAGCGGTGTCCTTAAAGGATTTGACCCTCTGCTGAACCTGGTGCTGGACGGCACTATTGAGTATATGCGCGGTAAGTGTGCGCTTTAAAGTCAAGACCATGCGAGGGAAAAATGATTTACAGGAACAAAGAATGACACAAGACTGCGCCAGCACTGAAGTGTTTTGCGTTTCCTTTAACCTGAACCCAAATGAGTCATTTGCAACACTGAGGCAGTGCCCAGACTAACCTGAGTGTTTCTGTGATCACATCTACTGAAGGAGGACCCAGTAAAATAAAATAAGGCTACTGGTGATGGTGAAAGTATTCCGATGGTCCCACAACTGGGAAATGTTATTTAGTATACTGAGTCGAGCTGTGTGTTTCACCAAGCGTTGATCCTTAGCTCAGGGCTGACCACCAGCCTCAGTGTGAGCTATGACAGCTGTAGCCTTCACTCACACTGAGGAGTTTTCATGCTAAAGTCATGTCAGCGTGTGGGTGTAAGTGTGAGCCCAGCTGAGTTAAATTAAAGTTTTGTTGTTTTTTTTTACTTAAACTGAGCCTCATGTTATTGACTGTTTGAAATAGCTACTCAGCTCCTCTCCAGCAGGTGGGTGGAGCTCCTGCACCTGAGATATTAAGGCTAAACCTTCTCAGCGACACCACAGTGAAGTTAGGGTTGAAAAAACTGAAACTGAGTAGCTCATAGGAGTTACTTGAACACTGGTGGGGCTTACTGTTAAAGCCGTGTCTGTATTTAAACTGATCGTGCAGCATCGACTGCTGTCGTAGATAATGTGACGCTTACTTGTGTGCTCCTGCAACTCCTGTGTTTAGATCCAGATGACCAGCTGAAGCTGACAGAAGACACCCGGCAGCTGGGGCTGGTGGTCTGCAGAGGAACCTCCGTAGTGCTGATCTGTCCTCAGGATGGCATGGAAGCCATACCAAACCCATTCATACAGCAGCAGGACGGCTAACACACAAGCTCTCCCCTGCTAACTTACACGTACTTGTACACACTTGAATATTTCGTTGTTTCTTTTCCTTAGTTTTTATTTCGTTTTAACAATAACGGTGATCATTAATGGAGCCAAGACGATTTAGTTAAGCAGCAAAAAGACGTTTGAATGCACTTCACTTTTATTTCAGTCTGATGTGCAAATTTGTAAAGATTTGTGTTGTAAAGAGCCCATAAATGTGGGATGTGTAAACAGTACCATTTTCTTTTTATCCAGAATAAGTGAACTTTTTACTATTCTTTGTTGTTTTGATAAGAAAATAAAGTGAAAATGTAATTATGCCGACTTTTGGAAGTTTTGCTCTACTCTGCTGGCTGCACATCTTTGCCTTCAGAATTACATGAAGGTTGTGAAAACGACCACTTTGAATGTGAGTTAGATTCCTGAAAGTCGCTGTAGTTTAACAGCAGCATGACTCAGCTCAGATGTGGTTCCATTTTTATCTCGTACACTGAGTGTCACGGGTTCTCTGCCATTTCACACCTCGCACTTTCAGTTTTTAATCACTCAGTAAAACCAAGCAAAGACTCAGAGACACAGGCATGACTGCATCAGCAGTCTCGTGTTTATCCTGCCTAAAAACTCCTTTATTGAATTGAGTTCCCGCTTTATTTTTCTCCTTTCATCCAGACTTCTGTGGCTCGCTCCATACTTTTGGACCCACTGCTCTACAGCTGAGCGTCACTGCTCGCTGTCCAGCTTAGCCAGCAAAAAAATACGTCAAATGCTTAACAATCCAACGCCAATTCCAAAAGAGTTGGCACGTTCTTTAAAATGTGCACAAAAACAATGCAATGATTTGCAAATTTCATAAATCTGTAATCTGTTTGTGTGTAGTTGTACGAAGCAGCTGTTGCCAGTTGAGGCCCAACATGATCGGCTGTGGAAGAAGCATCTTAGAGACAGTTTCGCAGAAATTGTGAAATATGCAAATTGTGATGAAAGTTTTAGAACTTAAAGACTCAATATGTCTACAGTGCAAGACATCAAAAGAGGCCAAAAATCAAAAACTTTAATAAAAACAGACATGTACCTGTTGTGGAAATCACTGCACAGAGTTCACTGTGTCATCCACAAATGCACATTAAAGACAAGAAGAAATCTGAAGAGAAGCCACGTGATCCAGAAACGTCCCGGCCTTCTCTGGCGGAAAACTGTGATGGAATTTAAATTCTTATTTGAAAACTTGGCCTAAAGACGAGAGGGTCCATCAGGCTTGTTGTCGGCACCAAGCTCAAAAGCCTCCATCCCTGCTGTCACGGGGGGGGGTCAGTGTCTGTGGACGTGGACTATATGCTGAAAGGTATTTACAGGTTTTAGACCAACACATGCTCCCACCCAGTGGTGTCTTTTTTCAGGCAAGGCTTTGCATATTTCAGCAATACGATGCTGAAACACATGAATCTGTTACAGCAGCATGGCATCATAGTACACAGTGTGCTGATCGATGTGCAGTCCAGTTTCACCAGCTGCAAACATCTGGAGCACCATGAAATCACAAAAATACAACAAGGCCAGAGCTGATTTCTGTTTCAGCCCCCTGACTTCACAGCGAGTGGTCGTTGTACTTAAACACCAGCTGGTTATGTTCAGTGATCCGTGTGAGCGGCCAGTTAACAGTGTGATGATGTCGGTCATGAACTTAAAGTTTTGAAAGGAATACTGGGAGTGTGTGTTGAGTGTGAGAAGATAAACTTCAAGCCTGTAAACACACCAACAAAGAGGCTGTTGCACCTTTGTGCTTTAGCAGGGCGGGGGAATAATCCCAGTTTGCACCTCGAGCTTTACAGCAGAACGTGTCCATTGTTTGTTAAAAGTTGACCCATGTGCTTTGAAATGAGGGACAACTGTTCCTGTTCAAATAATTACAGAGTAGTTAAACTGTGTTTTCAGTTATGGAAACTGAATAAAGCCTTAAATACACTTTAAACTTGTGCACCATTAACCTCGATGCAAGAGGTCAGTAAAGTGTCAGACTGGAGGCGCTGTGGGCCTTAATGGTTTGCCAGCTTGTTGTAAGTGCAGAACTTGCAGCCAGGAACAAAAAGGCCGAGTTAAAGGAGGCTCGGCCCCTCCTCCTCCTGTTGCTCAGTCACTGTGTCAGTGGAGCACTGACGAGCAGCACCGGAGCCGCTCTGGAGCGTTTCGAGCCATTTTCATCTCTGCTTTGTTCCAACTTGCTGTACTGAAGGATGCGTGTTTGATATTTACCCGGAGACTGTGGACAGCAGGTCAGCTGCAGGTCAGCTATGAGGTAACAGCAGAAACACCTGTGCACACCGGGGTGTAACCAAAGGGATCAACAAGCATGGAAGGAGGGTCTGCCAGAGATTTGTGAAGACTTACCGACTTTCAAAGGCAAACAGAAAAAGGTGGGTTACCTGCGGGACGGGGGAAAGGCACGCCTCCTGGCCAAAGGAACAAATAGCGGACCTCTTGGTGTCCTCGCCCGGTCTTCAGTCTCCGTGTCTGTTCTTGCTGGAACTTCGGGATGTTGTAAATGTCAGTGCTGAGAGCAACAGATGAAGAGGTGAGTGAGTCTACCTCAGGACATAAAGCCTGCATTGTTTAAAGCTCCGCTGTGTGAGACGTACCTGAGACGCTGTGTGGAGTTTATCTGCAAAGATTTACGGACGTTTTCTTGTCTTTACTGTGACCTTTCCCCACATCTGATTTGTGATTGCCAAGCGACATGGCCTCCGTGGTTTATTTTACGCGCTCCTCAGGCTGCGCCGCCGGGCGGTAACTTTTTTTGTACTTTTGAATAGTTTGAGTATTTATGATCATTATTTCTTTACTGACAAACAGTTTGTGAGAACTAAAAGTATCTTTAAATGTAACTCTGTGTGTGTGTAAAAGTGTCTGTTTAAAATCATGCTCCCAGTCTCATGTCGCACTAACTGCAGTGACACGCAGCACGTTTATTTCACGCAGGCTTGAGTCGTTTTGCCTGTGAGGCATTATGCTGCTGGAGACAGTCGACGGTGGGTTGTGACGGCTGTGAATCCAACATGGAAGCGCAGAAGGATGAAGGCCGAGGGCCGTGGTCATCTTCGCCTCCCGCTCCCTCCAGCTCTGTCTGCTACAGGAGCGGTCTCATACTCTTCCTCCTCTTCTTCCTTATTATTGGCATCTTTGTCGGCCTGGTTATAGGTGAGCCTGCACACGAATGTTGGGTGTAATGTTTTGTGACTCATTTATCAGACGTTTTTAAACCAGCACGAACCGTTTAAAGATTTCACTGCAGATGCATCACTTACTGATAACTTCCTCCTGTTTTACCCGCAGCGTACCTTGTGCAGGAGCAGCATCATTTCATGGAGACAGTGGAGCTCAGAGGTCTGAAGTACGACGCTGCACTGCAGGATAAGAGCTCTGGTTTCTCCATAGTACTGTCCTCAGTTTTAAAGTCCAGGGTTAGTGCTGATTCACAACACAATGAGAGCGCAGGTCTTAATGTTAAAGGTGTTCAACTGTTACTGATTCTCACCTTTCAGATTAAAAACGTCTTCACCGCCTCACCCATAACACGTCACTTTGTCGATTGCAGCATTGTTGCCTATGGGTAAGCACGGGGTCATTTATTCAACACACAAACAGGATGTAAGATGGAACATTGCCAGTTTTCTTCTCGCCTTCCTAGTAACATTAACGGAGATGTGATGGCGACGCTCCGACTCGTCTTCAGGGTGTCCAAGATCCAGCAGTATTCAGAAAACTTTGTTCAGGACTTGCTGAGTGCAGGACTCAGCTCATCGATGCACGGGAAACCGCTGGAGGTGCCGGAGTTTGGACAGATCGACGCTGTCATCCTGCTGGGTAGTAAAGCTGTCACCAGTCTGTGTGTTTCACCAGAGTCTTTACGTTTACTAGGAGTGACGAAGATCGTAACTATCACTCCTCCTTCTTTGTAGGAGCCAGTGGAAAGTCATTTTATGTTATTGGAGACAGTATGATAGGTAAGTTACACACTCGCACGCACAAAACCAAACACACAATTGTGCTGCAAATTTAACAGTAATGTGCTGGATGCCAGGAAATGACTGTAAAAGTACTTACAGGAAAGTAAAGTTACTGTAAATGAAATTTACAGTGAAAACTGTAAAAATGTTTTATAGCAGTGGAAATGTCGTTTATCATTTACATCTTTATTTGTATAAGAAACGGATACATCAAACTCTTTATCTGACTTCCATAACCTCAAAAAAGTATTTTCATTTCCTTTATTATTAGCCAAGCTAAACTCAAATGTTCACCTAATGATGTCACTTCCATCTGGAATGAATGGCTTTGCCGCACAGACATCCGTCCTCCTCCCAAACATCCATTCATTCATTATCCTGTTAAATCGTGTTCAACAAAGTCTCAGCTTTTCACGAGCCAAAACTGGGCCTTTGTGTTCTGAAACAGTCCATTTTTCAGCTCATCCAGCAGGTTTTCAATGTGCAAATTTATCTTTAGAAGTGAGAATTGTAACTTTAATAAGTCACCAGTTTTGCAAAAACTCTACTATGTATTGTTGTTGTTATTTATTCATTTATTTCATGCGTAGTGAAAGTATTTTTGGCTCTGCAGCCAGCTGTCCTGACAACACTTTCACCTGTGACAGCGGAGAATGTGTCACTAAAGTAAACCCAGAGTGCGACTTCGTCCCAGACTGCGCAGATGGATCTGATGAAGCTCGCTGTGGTGAATGACTCCTCAAACTACAGCAGACATACACAGTAGCTCCGTTACTCCTTCTGTTATTAACGAGTGTGCATCGTTACCACAGACCTGAGCAGAATATACTGGGACACATCTGCTTTTAATCACTTACACTAGTTTTTCTTCACCCAACCCACAGCCTGCGGTACGCGTCCTGCCACGGGGAGTCGGGTGGTGGGCGGTGAGGACGCACGGCGAGGGGAGCTGCCGTGGCAGGTCAGCCTGAGGTTCCATGGGCGGCACATCTGCGGAGCCACCATCATCAATGAACGCTGGCTCGTCAGCGCAGCTCACTGCTTTGAGAGGTAGCTCTGATTTAAACCCGTTTAAAAACAGTCGTTTGAAAATTTTGGATGCTAATCAATACAATCATTAAGCTTTCGACCTTCACATGCTCAATGCCATCGTTTGAGAGTATGGAGAGGTGAAATGTAGCTCACAGTTTACAGGTGCTTTACAGAAGCACAGCATGGAGTTACTGTATACAGCACTGTAGTATTTCTATGCTTTGCTCCTTCCGCGCTGTTTTGGAGGTAAATACTGTGCTTGGTTGTCCATGCTATTCATTTTAAAGCTTTAATTATAAATTGTTTTTCAAACACACGTCTACTAGTATTCTTTGCCTCGTTGGTACATCATCATCATCATCATCATCATCATCACCTTTATTTATAAAACACTTTAAAACAACCACAGCTGACACAAAGTGCTGTACATTTGAACTAAATAATAAAATTACATAAGATATAAATAAAAGCAAAAATAAAATAATTAAATAAATAACTAATTTAATTACAAGAGAAACTAAGTCTCACTGAGGTCAAAAGCCAAAGAATAAAAATGGGTTTTAAGACATGTTTTGAAAGTGGACAGTGAAGCGGCCTCTCTAACTGCAAGGTCAGGTTATTTCATAATGTAGAAAAGGCCCCGCCCCCTGGAGCAGCTGGTGCGTGGGGATGAGGCTCAGAGAGGTAAGGCGGGGCAAGACTGATAAAGATACCCAGCAGTACACAAGTAATAAAGTTATCTACCAGTGCACCATTAAATTGATTTGCATATTACGTCATCATTAATTGTGATGTATATGTTTCTGGGTACTTTTACTTTAGCAATGTTTTGATCCTTAGGTTTTCCCACTATTACTTAAACAGGACTATGATGCTTCTTTCACCACTTTGCAAACAGTTACATAAAACACATTTCCTCATGTGCTGTCCTGCAATAAATCAGTATTAGGACACATCTGCACACGAGCCTGGAAATGATTTTCAGTTTTTTCAGTTTTTGATCAAATATTCTGTTCTGGCTTTTGAAAAAATGCTAGAAAAGTCCTTAAGAAACAACAATCCCATTTCATGAATATACACCATCATTTATGATTGCCTCCTCTGGTTTTAGGGTCAATAACCCCAAAGAATGGACAGCCCTGGTTGGGGCGACGCTGGTGAGCGGTGAGGAGCCAGAGTCCAGAACGATTAACATCAAGTCCATAACTGTGTCTCCAGACTACAACCCCATGACCACGGACAATGATGTAACTGTGCTGGAGCTGGAGACGCCTCTCACGTTCAGCTCTTACGTGCAGCCTGTCTGCATACCCTCCCCATCTCATGTTTTTGCACCTGGTCAGAGCTGCATTGTGTCCGGTTGGGGTGCCGTACACCAGTTTAGCTGTGAGTCTGCAGGAATGCACACAAAACGCAACAGACGAGTCATTTAGAAAAGAAAATCCTAAAAACTTGTTCTTGAAAGCTGTCGTCTTGTCATTTAAGGTGAAATATGACAAGTGGGAGTAATCAGTGTGTCGTGTGTTCTTCTGCAGTCACGCTGCCCTCCACGCTGCAGAAAGCTGTGGTCAAAGTCATTGACTCCAAGGTGTGCAATAAGTCATCTGTGTACAGAGGAGCGATCACTCCAAACATGATGTGTGCTGGATTCCTGCAGGGCAAGGTGGACTCGTGTCAGGTCAGTGGTGAAAACGGTTCACATGCAGTGGGGCATGTCTATACCTATGACCTATGACCTATGAAGGTCTGAGGATCGCTAAAAATATTCACACCGTTCTCACCTTAAAAACTGAGACTATGAGCCATCTGTTCATCTCAGCATAACCGTGTGCTGTTGATTATACCGTGAGAGGCTCAGTCTGAAAGAAATCCACTTCAAAATATCTGATGTTGCATAAATTATCGAACACGTTTTGGAAATTTTATCTCTCTGTACGTAAAATGTTACTTCTTTGGACAAAAATATGAACTTTAAGAATGTGTAAAATGCACTTATTACATAATTGTTTCAACATTTAAAGCAATAGCTGTGAATTACAGCAGCTGATATTTGACAGTCGTACATGTCGTGCCCCTTCTGTCGTGTCGTCTCCCTGATAAAGACAACATACTCTGAGACATATCTCCCAGTAGCTCCGTGACTTTCAAGGTTCAGAGCTGATGCTTAAAATTGTGGTGATTAGCCTAATGATGCTAATCCTGACCAACCAGGACGGATTACCTGATGCTGAATAGTTGAAAGTTACCAAAAATGACACTTTTCAGAGTATCTGTCAGCTCATGTGTGTCATGTGCAGGGGGACTCCGGAGGACCTCTGGTGTGCGAGGGGGCCCCGGGAAGATTCTTCCTGGCCGGGATAGTGAGCTGGGGTGTGGGCTGCGCTCAGGTCAACAGACCTGGGGTTTATTCCCGTGTTACCAGGCTCCGTAACTGGATTCTAAGCCAGACTGATCCCACCTCGGTTCATGATTATGGCCAGCATGTTCCCACAGTGACAGAGTTTAATACCCCACCAGCACTCGGGACCTCAGCTGATAACGTGTCGTCTGCAGCAGTGCTACCACTGTCTGGTAATGTCAGCCTGAAAGCTCCTTAATCTTAAGAGCTTTATCGGTTACTGAGATTCATTTATTTAATGAATGTGTTTTTTCCAGCCTTGAATTGCAGTGGAAACTTTGAGTGTAGCTCCACTTCCTGCATCAGCAAGGTCAACCCGGAGTGTGACAGAGCCGCAGACTGTCCCAATGGGGCTGATGAAAGAAACTGTGGTAAACTTAAAATGCACGAAGCACGGAGCATGAGGGACTTACGGGTCATTCTTCTTAACTGCGTTTTGGTTTTTGGTTTTTTAAGACTGCGGCGTGCGCCCTGCGCTGGGCTCCCATAGGATCGTGGGTGGAGTCACAGCTCGGAGGGGAGAGTGGCCTTGGATCGGGAGTCTTCAGTACCAGAGGCTTCACAGATGCGGTGCCACGCTCATTCACAATAGGTGGTTACTGACTGCAGCGCACTGCTTCAAAAGGTATTTCATACATTTATATCAAAACTCGTTTCACTGAAAGCTCAGGAGTGATTCTAATATTAATAACTTACATCTAAAGTGACTCTACTCCCAATAACTGGGCCGTGAGCCTGGGATCTGTGCTGCGATCGGGGGTAGGAGCCCTGGTCGTTCCCATCCAGAGGGTAATCATCCACCCGGCCTTTAATGGCACCAACATGGACCACGATGTGGCTTTGCTGGAGCTGGCCGTCCCAGCCCCGATGTCTTACACCATCCAGTCTGTCTGTCTTCCATCACCAGTACACCGCTTCTTAAAGAGCGCAGAGTGCTACATCACAGGGTGGGGATCCATGAGAGAGGGAGGTGAGAGATGAACCCACGAAACTAAACGTCCTGCATTTAGAGGTCACACAGGAAAAAAATGAAATGTCTTTACTAAGAAATAAAGGCAGGGGAGCCCGAGAGGTGAGATCATTTTCACGTTATTGACGTGACTCAGCCTTCAGAGGTAGAAAAGCAGGAATAGCTCCGTGATCCGTGGCCTGTTCGGCCTTTCACGAGTGAATGTGATATGACTGCAGCCTTTATCAGCTTAGCTTCTGCCTTATCTGCCTCTGAATGGAATTTTGTTTCCACAGCAACAAAAACACTGGTGCTCAGGTGTTGCGATCACACCTGTTCTGTGTGCAATGCTCTTTCCTCAGGTTCATTGACCAACCTGCTACAGAAAGCTGCTGTGAACATCATTGACCAGACGGACTGTCAGCAATCATACGGTAGCGTTCTGACTTCAAACATGATGTGTGCGGGATTCATGGCGGGAGGTCGGGACACCTGCTTGGTATGATGTTCACACAGACTTCTGCACTTCCTGTTTCACAATCGTTAAAAAGTTCCTAACCTGCAGACTTTTAACATCAGGCTGGTGCACTGCATGCAGTGCTCGGAGGCTGGAGGAAGTATGACTGTGGTGTCTTTACAGTGAATGGTTAACCAGGCCGGAGCAAAGTCAACCTTGATCTCCCCCCTTACAGGCTTCTCTGGTTCACCTTTGGAAAAAGGCTGACGAATAAATTAAGGTTTAAAAGCAAGAATCAGATGTAAGAGAAAAAACTCCAAAAAGAATAAAGCTAGAAAATGTGACCTGATAGAAAATGTACGCTGTCTTCCTCAGCGAAGGCAGGCCACCCCGCTGCATCCTCTCCATAATCGTCTTATGTAACGAAACCCTCACGCATTCCTGTTTCGGTCAGAGCACCGGGCTCAGCTGCAGACTGACTGACATTTACTCCCCTGCTGCCATACTCATCTTCAGTCTGCTCTTATAAATGAGTTAATCAATCATCACTGTATTTATAGAGCACATTTATATAGAATTTAAAGTTATTTAAATTCCAAATGAAACTGTTGATGTGTTTTGATATTGCAGGGAGACTCTGGAGGGCCGCTGACGTGTCGTCAGCCCTCCGGTCAGTGGTTTATCGCTGGAGTAACCAGCTGGGGACACGGATGCGGCCGAGTCGGTTTCCCGGGAGTTTACACTCGTGTGACGTCTATCAGGAGCTGGATATCCACATACCTTCCCTTCTGATGAAGGAAGAACTGTGTCTGCAGAGAACTGAGGTCATGCTAAACAGCCACACACAAACACTGTGTACACAGCCCTGACCTTTGTGACCCTCCGGTCACGGGTGCTGGCGGTAGTGCTGTGCTTTACCTGAACTGAGGAAACAATCCTGATCTGTGCCTTAAACATTCATTCACGGATCATTTGGAGTATTTATTAGTTATTTATTGTCATGGATGGTAAACACACAGCACGTGGCTTTGTGTATTTTGTGTGGACAATATGGGATTCATTTATGGGTAAATGTAAGGGTATTGTGATCTTTTACTGCAACGTGGATTTGTGGGGAAAGTCTACTCTGTACAAAGTCAGTGACGTGGGACTCGGTGTCGTTCTGTTGGTGGATATTTTTGATCAGAAACGAGAGAACACCTGATTGATTAATTTATTATTTTTTCTTGGGGGGAAAAAAAATCACTGATTGCAAATGATGTTCACAGCTTTTCTGGCTCCTCACACAAACTCAGGTTCCCAGACATCTAACAAACCGCACACACACGAAGCTGAGAAAGGTGCAGTACCCCGTCAGGGCGAGGGAGACCCCGCTGGAACAAACCCACTACTGTGGAGGGCAGCAGATAGAGTGACAACCAGAAAACACGTCAGACAAAACAGTGTTGTTCTCCAGGCGTACTTTGATATAGGTCTGTTTGGAGGCTTGGAAATGTCAAATTCATGCTGGTGAAAACACCAAAACGCTTCGATTCTTCCTGATGATTTTTAAGCACTTTTTTTCCTTTAAGGCTCCAGGAAATATTTAATCTCTAAGCACAATCACCCGGCAAAGAATGTGAAGCAGTGTTTAAAGGAGAGTCTGCAGTGACTGGGAGACGTTTACTGTTATTGGTATTACAGGCAGAAGCATTCGATGGGCAGGGAGATGAGTCACAGGAAGTAAGCTGGGCCTATTGAGCCAAACTGCACCTGGAGTCCTTATAGCAGCACAGCAGGCTCCGCCTCCTGCCACAGCATCAGCAAACACTTTAAAACACATTCACACCTAAGCAGGTAATTTAGTGTTTCCAATCAGCATGGCAAGAACCCGCAGAAGATGACTGATTATATTTCTAACGTAAAACACACAATCGATTTAACATTGGTAGTGAACTGTTCCTCAGAGCAAAATAAAAACTGTCCACAGAGACACCGTTATGGCTGCAGTCCACAGGCTGTGCTCTGCCTGTCAGAGGTACTGTGACAGATGTTGCGCCGCTGCGTGGCAAAGTCGTGCACGGCGCGGGCCCTCCTGCAGAGCACTGCATCGGCCCTCGCTGTGTGCAGCAGCCTGAAGAAGGGAAAGATGAAGAGAGTTCACATGCGAGCTCTTTCTCGCTGCAGTCTGGAGTTGTATGTTCGGGACACGGTGTTCCAGGCGTCCATATAGCGGTCCATACACATGGCGATACACTTCTGTTAGGGACAAAGCAAAAAGAGTCCAGAGAAATAAACCACTCGTGGTCTACAAAGACTTTAACCGATTTAAAACTGTGATTAATACAAAAAATGTTTCTGATGCACTCCTCTATCTATCTATCTATCTATCTATCTATCTATAGATAGATAGATAGATAGATATATTAGGGGTGCAACGATATTCGTATCGATATTGAACCGTTCGATACAGTGCTTTCGGTTCGGTACGCATATGTATCGAACAATACAAAATTTTTAATTTATTTTATAAACTTTCCTTCTGATGATGCTGTCTGTGTTGAGCGCTCAGTGAATCTGCACTCGACTGCTCTGCCTAGGCTGGACAGTGCAGCCTAGGCAGAGCAGTCGAGTGCAGATTCACTGAGCGCAGGGCAAGCTAGCGAGACAGAAGTTAAGCTCTACTTGCAACATGGCAAATTGAACCTCCTCCACCCTCATTCAGATCTGGCCTTTGGAATTATTTTGGTCTTCATGTGACGTATGACCCTGAAGGTAAGCGCGTCATGGACTAAAGTAAAACAGTATGTTGGATGTGCCATGCAATGCTCAATTACATGGGTGGGAGCTAGTGTGTTAGCGCAGTTAGCTCGTTAACGTGTTGACGCTGTCCAGCCCCACGCACGGGGCGATCCGCGGTAGCTCGTTAACGGAGATTTGCCGTGTTGTGGCGTTAAGGTCATTTCAACGAGATTAACCTGAAAGCACTAGTGGGAACACAACGAATATGACTGCACATTTACTCCGACATCATCCTAGTGCAAAGACAAGTGGAAGCAGACAAAAACAACAAGCAGCATGCTACACACTGTACCCGTTTAGACAGCCGTTAGCACAGGATTCTCCTTATGGGGACCTGATATGTTTAATATGCTGCTGAGAATATAGCCCAGAAGAAGCGTATAGTAGAGCTTTTATTTTGAAAGAGACATTTCTCTGTAATAAACTCTCTTTTCCAAAGATGAGGGATTCCTCAATCAGATACAGGGCTTGCAATATCGCTAGCCCGACGTCCCGGGGCTAGCGATTTTTCCAGTCGGGCTACCAAAATCTATCTCTGCCCTGCCCGTCGGGCTATTGTAGGAAAAATATATGTCAATGCTTCTGCATTCTTTCAGAAATGTAGCTGGGTAATTATGTCATTGGCATCGGTGAGCCACTGTCAATATGTGACATATTGAAATCGCGTTTGAATTTGCGCTCGTTTTTTTGCTTTCACTTTGCAATCGCGCGAACTGTGTATAGAGAGCAACAGCACTGATCTGTGAGTGATGATAATTTGTGCACCAATTCCTCTGACATCGTCTTATCAATCGTTAGCTTACTATGCAAACATGACAAGTGAAATCTCCCGCAGCTTAAACATGTGAGAGGTTGATCGCGCAGAGGATCGCTGAGCTTATGTGAGTCCGTGTGTAAAAGCAGCAGGATATATATTTTAGTTCTGCTGAGCCAAATAAGACAGGTCAGGGTGAAGAAGTGACAGCCAAAGAAAAGCTTACCACAAAACGGAGAAGTTATGACAAATGAGACTATAAGGCAAAAAGAAAGTGCAGCTTTATGGTTTCATGGACAAAAGAATTTCTGTGGCTGCGATATGACGAGCTAAATAACCAGGGCTGCACATAAGTGGTCCGCAGGTGCGCATTCGCTGTCAAAATAAAAAACGCGCACAAGATAAGAAGTTGCAACGCGTGTTTGCGTACATAAGCTTTTCAGAAGGACAGACATTTGTTTAGAACTCTTAAAGATGCCGAAGAAGCTCGTTTAAGCAATTACTTTGGTGTTCCTCCACCTCCAAAGAAATGTCAGGAGGAGTCCGAACCACAAAAGAAGCGCGTATTCTCGGACAAGTAGTTGGTGGAGGTGAGCTGGCTTCAAACAAATGATGAACGCACAGAGATGTGGTGCAGAATGTGCCGTGAAAATTTAATAAATGACAAATTAAAAATGCATGAACATTTTTTTTGTATCGAAAAAATATCGAACCGAACCGTGAATTTTGTGTATCGTTGCACCCCTAATATATATATATATATGCATGCAAGGAGCATTTCTGCAGAGAGATAGACCAACCCAGATCAACTCTAACCTGGAAACGAGACACTGATGAAGACTCAGGAGTGGATACATGTTGGTCCACCTTATCCTACGATAAACCTGATATATTATTCTACAAGATGATGCAGTACCTCAGCAGCACCTTATGTTTTTGCGCTTGCCCCACTCAAAAGCACCTGTCAGGTAAGCCTTAGAGCCCTGCAGCACTTTTGTTATGCCCTCCTGCTTTCTTAAAACGTGATCACTTCTTTGCTCTGGGCAGCAGGGCATCACTGAAGCGACTCAGCCAGTGCATACCTGCTCAGAGTTGTCCAGTGTGCTTCCAGGCTTGCCTATGCACTTCTTGAAGCATTTATCGGTCATTCTCTGAAATAGAAACAGTGTTTTATTAGCATTTACTACTCTGACAGCAGCAGCGCAGAATATTTGCATGACTTTTAAAAAAAACCAGATATGTATTAAAAGACCCTCCAACGTTGTGGCTCAAAAGGATCTTTTTGTGTCGGCAGCATTTCAGTGCTGGCTCGTGTGTTTATATGAGCCATGTATTTACATGCTGGCAGGATCCATCAACCTTATTGAAGTTATTGCGGGCTAAAAAATAAAACAGTCTTACACACAGAACGAAAAACGAAGCTACTGTAAAGCTGTGTAGCTCTGACCCGTGAGGATAAAAGCACTCAGCACTTCTTTGAGCCTCAATGTGCGCTTGCTAGCTTAGCAGCCGTGTTCATTGATCTACCTGCAGCAGCTCCTGAGCGTTAGCCACCGCGATCTGGACCTTGACCTGCTCCATGATGGTACCGGTGTCCATTTTCCCGCCGGACCCTCCTGCTGAGAAGTCTGAACCAAAGCCGTCCATTTCCGCCTCAGTCGTGTTCTTCAAACTCACCTTTGCGGAGCTTCTTCCAATACACGTGCAAACAGCCGCTGCTAGCCTTAGCCGGCGTTAGTTTCCGATGCCCTTGACAGAAGCTGTGCTTGTTGCGTCATTTCCGTGTAAGCCACTCGGTTTCATAGGAAATGTAGTTTCCCCCCCCCCAACATAAGCTGTACTGCTACAAGTAGCATTTCTCCTACAGATCAGTACTACTATGTATATTTACATTTGAACATTTAAAAACGGTGTTTTTGTGGGACCATGTGGGACATGTTGGCAATACAGGGAGGTACTGTGCGGGTTTGCATGTAAAGGCCAAATAAATGGCATTTAAAAGCAACTGTCTTGCTAAGTAAATAAAATAAGGATGAAGCGGATCTGAACTTTATGTCCTGTTATTTCTCCTGTCTGTTAATCATCATTAGATTTCATCATCTATGCAATGTTTACTGAGCCAACGTTAGCATTTTTCTAGCCAATTAAGAGACACGTGTAGTGTCACTTTACGCCACATTTTTCCTTGTGTGAAACTAATGAAATTATCCAGAGGAAAAAAAAACGATATAAACTGCGGCTAAATTTTCTGTTGGATAATTTGATTCAAAATCTGCAAAGCGTGTAACGTTTAGGTGGCTTTCCCCCCCTATTGGTTTCAGAGTTAGCGCATTAGAGTGTTGGGCATAAAAATCCAGACTTTAACGCATCCCACAGAGCCGGTCAAAGTGTAGCATCCCTGGCTGAATGATGGTCTCTTATACTGATGCTTCACAGAGGCTTTATTGGAAATGTTTTTATTGAAACATTCAGTGAAGACACCGTAAGAGCTAGGAGCAAAACAAAACCAGCAATATTAATACCATAAGATCAAAGGAAACAAATTTCTCCTGCTCACATATA